AGTATTCATGACCAATAGGAGAATTCTTATTCAAGGTTATTAAACTCGAGAGTCTACATAGACCCGTGGGAGGCTTGTAGACTTGACTCATAAACCCGACTCGTAGACTTGACTCATAAATCCGACTCGTAGACTTTGAAGAATCTACTTCATATGAAAATTTAATAAAAGAAATAAATATTCACATGTTTTTGTGAAACATCTAGGCTACTAGTTTTATTTATTATTAGACTATATTTTTTCTTTTGAACTAAATCAAAACCGTGTTCTGCTAATCCTAGTGGTTGATGTTAGAAATTTGTTTCTGAACATTTTAGTTTGGTCTGGTATTGAAATGATGAACTTGAATATATGATACTAAACTAATAGTATGAAAGCCTTTTAATGCATCTAAATATTCCTATGGCTCTGGATCATTTATCCCCTTGGGGTTATTTATTTATGGTTTCTAAAATCATTTTTTTCCTTCCATAATTATGTGTTCTTTAAATATTCATTTATGTTATTTATGATTTGATATTGATTATGGTTTTGAATGGAAAAATGTTATGCTTTTTTTTCGATAATTTTGTGTTCTTTAAATATTCATTAACGTTATTTATTGAATAAGTGTCAAATTACATAAATTATTTAATAATTGAATTAAATGTTGCAAAGATTCTTGATGAGTTTTAAAATTGAATTAATGTAGATGAAAAAGATAACGTTGAAAACTGAATTAGTAAGGAAGAGCAAGCCAAACGTAAGATACAATTACAACCAAGCACTGATTAGGGTTTCTCCTGAAAGATATCAATTTCAAGGTTTCATCTCTAAGGTATTAATTTCTATCCTTCAAGTCTTTGTATTTTATTGTCTTTTAGTTGTATTATTTTGTAATTTTTCATATTCTCTCTTCCAAATGTGATAATTAGAATGTAATTATTCTTTATTTCATGTACGCAAATTGAGATTACCAGTGTAGCCATGTTCTCATTGTATATATAAAACATATTTAGAAAACCATAAGTGTTTTATTTGTTTTCCTTTAGGAATAAGAGTAGTAGGAGAGACACACAACACCACAAATGGAAGATTTTCCTGTCCTTGTATTAATTGCTTGAATGAGCGAAGACTACCCCATTGTAGTAATACAAGAGCATGTTTTGTGTGATGGGTTCGTACATAGTTACACCAAGTGGACATGACATGATGAATTAGTAGAAGTGCCAATAGCACATGTGTCTCAAACTAAAGCAGAAGAAGTGGATTTCGTTATGGAAGATGGTTTGGAGCAAATGATTTGTCTCCAATGGAAGGTCCAAACATGGAAGACATTAGAACCAAGTGAACTTCTTTTATTTTAAGTGTTAGTAAATTGTAGAAACTTGGCTATAATTTAGTATATATGTAGGTTAATGTATTGGATTCAATATATAGTTTCATGTACAAATAATATATTAAATATTATTAGACAATTTAATGTATGAAATGAATTTCATTTCGTTTATTCAATTGATTCTTTTGATTTCCAAGTAAATTGATTGAATGAGATGATAAAAGAGAAAATATCATTTTAAAAAAAAGATAACCTTCATTGATCAACATGACATTGTTTATCATAGTATGGCAAATGTAAGCACGTAATCTTAAAAAAAAATAAGTTTTTATGATGTACATGACAATATATGTCATAGTAGGTTAATTGTGAATAACATGTATTATGACACGTGAGCGAATACCTGTCATAATGCATGAGAAATATTATGATAGGTGAAAATAACTACATTATAGAAGCCAACATATTATAATGGTACCAAATTACATCATAGTAAATTGGACATTTTATAATAATAACTGAAAGTATGTCGTAATAGACTGAATATATTATGACAGGTGACAAAAAATACGTAATAGTAGACTGAATCTATTATGATATATTTTTTCGTTACGTCATCGAATTTCCAAAATTATAACACCAATCCATGTCATAATATGTTCAGTTTACCTATCATAAAAAGTAGGTTTAATAGGTTCGGAGGTCCCTATATTTGCGGGTTCGTTTCAATTGGGTCCTCCAATTTTGGAAGTGATCAATTGAGTCCTTAATTTGGTCAATTTGATTCAATAATAACCTTTCCGTTAAATGTAGTTAACGACGTTAACTTTTTTAATATGTGGCAAGCCGAGTCATCTTGATGTCACTGTTTGAGCTGTTCAACGTATCATTCTCTGTATATACACAAATTTTCCTTCATGACCAACATATCCAACAACATATACCAAATTTTGATTCCTCAGTTGCTAACACATAGGAAAATGATTGAAATTCTTACGAATATTCAGTTGATAGCTCCTCTCTTCCTCTTCCTTTCCCTCCTCCTTCCCCTCATCATCTTCTTCTACTCCTCAAGTTTCAACAACAAACAGGCTGCTCCAAATAAACAAACCGTTACTATCCCATCATATCCACTCATTGGCTCCTGCTTAGCCATTAAACGCACCGACAACCGCCGTCTTCTGTGGGAATCTGATATAGTCCAAATCTCACCCGCCAACACCTTCACCTTCCACCGCCCACTGGGTCACCTCCAAGTCTTCACTGGCAACCCTGCCAACATCGAGCACATTCTCAAGACCCGCTTCTCCAACTACCAAAAGGGCAATATCGTCATTAGTACGCTCTCCGACTTCCTCGGCACGGGGATATTCAACTCCGATGGCAACACATGGAAGTTCTAAAGACAACTCGCAAGCCACGAATTCAATACAAAGTCTCTCCGCAAGTTTGTGGAGCAAGTGGTGGATGCCGAACTCTCCCACCACCTCATCCGCATCATGGCTTCAGCGGCACAACAAGACCAGATCCTCGATTTCCAAGACATCCTTTAACGCTTCGCCTTCGATAACATATGCAAAATCGCCTTTGGATTCGACGCAAACTACCTGACGCCATCGGTTGAACGGAGCAAGTTCACGGTGGCGTACGAAGAAGCGTTACAAGGACGAGCCCTAATTTCTTTAATTTCTCCAATTTCGCATATTTCCCCAATTTTGCAGATACGAGCTACCTGACCCCAAAATAGGAAACATTGTTTTGGTTTAATGAGTTATAATTATATTTCGAAAATTCATTTATTCATATTTCGATGCAGAGAGAGGGCCAGGAGGCGGCGCAGATGGTCCGCTAGAGGTTGTGATCGGTGTAGAGACGACAGAGGTGGAGGGTGGCGGAGGATGCGGAGGCAAGGGTGGGGCCGTCGAGGCGATTAAGGATGTGGGATCGAATGATGTCGGGGTAGAGAGTGGTGATGTCAGAAGAAGAAAAAGAAGAAGCGGCGTCCATGGATGGCATGAGAAGAGAAAGTAAGAATAGTGAGAAAATAGAAATTTTGAAAGAGTTGTATGCTTACTTGGTTGGGGTTGCACTGAGAAGGATAAGGATTATAGATACGATGTTGGTCATGAAGGAAAATTTGTGTATATACAGAGAATGATACGTTGGACAGCTCAAACAGTGCCATCAAGATGACTCAGCTTGCCACATATTAAAAAAGTTAACGTCGTTAACTGCATTTAACGGAAAGGTTATTATTGAATCAAATTGACCAAATTAAGGACCCAATTGATCACTTCCAAAATTGGAGGACCTAATTGAAATGAACCCGCAAATATAGAGACCTCCGAACCTATTAAACCTAAAAAGTACTAGTGCTAAAAAAAAATGTTGAATCGTTGATTAATTAATGTTCATATTTATACATTTAATCAAATTGATAACAATTTTATCAAATCTTTCTCCCGGACCTAATTTTGTTTCTTACATAACAAACAATTTATTGATTATTTTAATAACTTGGTGTTTATGAAGTAATGATTGCGCATCTTAGTTTATAATATATGCTAGTTTGTTAACATGATTACCGATAACTAACTTTATGTTACTATTGTTTTAGTTTTTATTTCAACTTTTTGTTACTAATCCCTATTCCATCGAAGATATATGTTTCTTTGTGTCTTTATAATTGTCTTGTCATTTTGCACTACCATGCAAGCTTATCTTGAAGTGCTTATAAGCTTTTTGAAAGTTTCTTAATGAATATAATTAACAAGGTTGATGACATTCTTGAAAGTTTTTTTAATAACATGCAGAAATTCAGAAATATGATTTAAAATGAATTATTATCTTTATATATACTAAAATCTAAAATATGTCATTAAACTAACAAAATAGTACAAATTGTGTGTGTATTTTTAAATAATTTTTGTTATACTTTTATAAGAGATAAAATATTATAAACTATTTCTATAAGTATTAATATATTTTCAAAGTTACTTCATTAAAATATTAACATATAAACAGTAAGCAAATTTAAAATTTATTTTAAGTTTAACTGACTGATAATAAATTTCATTTACAAAGATACATGGTTAATTTCAATGTAATTATATTTCATATAAAACGCAACTTTATTGACGCACACACATTTAAATAATAATAGATTTTAAGATTATGTAATGTAAATAAATTTGTGCAACATACAGATCTGAAATCTAGTGTATTTTTAAGTACACATTTATATTTAATAAATACACATACTTTTTTTTATTCATACTAAAGTAATTCGTGTTATTTTCTTCTTTAAATTATTGTCGATCTTCTACCTGACGATGACTTACATCGAATAGTTTTTTTTTTTTTCAGTTTTTAGACCTTGATCAGAGATACGTTGCCAAACATAAAAAAGAAAAGAAAAGAAGAGGTGGCAAGTTTAGTGATAGACTAAATTTTATTAATTTTAAAAATTTAAAATTTGATCTAAACAATATAAAAAGTGAAGGGAGAGGTGGGTGTTGAAAGGTAGGGGAGAAAGGGATAGAAAATTAAGAATAATATGAATAAAGACTAAAAATAGATTTTAAATATAAAAAAAGGTAAAATTTGTTTAAACTGACAGTAATGTTACCTTAGTTTATTAATAAAATTTAGAAAAAGAGAAATAGTCAAAAGTTTCTCTTTCGATGTTAGAACAGCTTCGTAGATTTCCATCACTAATGTCAAAGTCCAGCAAGGGTTTGACAACAAGTGCACCCACTGTTCTCTGCTCTGTTTCCTAGGTCAAGTCCAACCAAACTCCCCTGTCTCTCTCACTCTTCCTCGTTCTCTCCGACCCATCTCTTACCAGTTACCATTGCTTACTCCTCCTTTTAACACTCATCAATTTCTTTCTCTCTCTCTCGCTCTTTCTCGCTCTCCCTCTGGTTTTGGATTCTTCTCATCCCAAAACAAGTTCCTCTCTGATGGGTTCCATCTCGCACGTGATCACCACCAACCCCACTCTCCCTCACCTACCCTTTACACGTTCCACTGGACTACGCTTTTCTTGCTTCAATCCCCGCCTCCTCCCGCTGCCATCCACCAGAGTCGCCGGGAAAGTCGGCGTCTTCGCGGAGGTAAGCAGCCCGAGTCGCACCACTTCCGGCATTGATTTCAGCGACCCCGATTGGAAAACAAAGTTCCAGCAAGATTGGGAGGCTCGTTTCAGACTTCCTCATCTCACCGACATCTTCCCAGATGCTCCTCCCATTCCTTCCACCTTTTGTCTCAAAATGAGGTTGGTTGGTAGGTCTAGTTTTCTTTCCTTTACCCTCTGTTTGCTACCACGGAAATATTGCTGTGTCTGGGGTGAGTGTGTTTATGTTTTTAAAATCCAACCAATCAAGATGTTGGTGGAAGTATAGAGTTGAGGGAAACGTAAAATGAGAACCGAAGAATATGATGAGACAGCATCTTGCCCCTGTTTCAAAATAGTTGTTTTGAAAATCAATTTTCGAGAGTTATTACATTTTGGATTAGATATTGATGACTTAATGGTGTAGAATTGTTTAGGAGAACAGTTTTTAAAATTAAAGATGAGGAGAGAATTATACGAGTCTTGTCTCTCTTCCTCTTTTTCATTTTTTCTTCAACAAGTTAAAAAGTACATTATTTTTCCTTTTTATTCTTCTATGGTTTCTTTCCACCCGTGAGTATTGTCTTTGTTAATGTGTTTTTTTTGTGACAGATCTTCGATTGATAGAGATTCTCCTGGTCATTATTCTTCGTATGAGGATTGGCATGGATATATAAATGACAATGACAGAGTGCTTCTTAAGGTATAGTGGTTTTTGTTCACTTGGATTTATTTTACACTGTTTATTAATTTTTTGTTGTCCTTGCGTTATTGTCTTCTGTGAGATTGCATGTAATCGAATTACAGTGAAATGCTACCATTGGATATTGATTGATGCTTTCATTCAATCAAGTTTAAAAAAAGTAGGAGTTGATGTTGGAAGTTAATTTTCTGTGTTCTTTGCTCTTTCAGACAATATATTATTCGTCACCAACATCTGCTGGTGCTGAGTGCATTGATCCTGATTGTACGTGGGTGGAACAATGGTAACACATTTGATTCACAAATTTAAAACTTGAGTTTAGTGATTGATTAAACAGATTCCAGTCAGTGGAACTTGGACATATGTTTGAAATGCTGGACAGGAGTTGTAAGTGTTCAATAAATGGCACTTAAAACTTTAACATACCAAAATGTTTCTTTGGAAGTTTATCTAAAATGAAGAGAAATTTGATGGCTTTGGGAATTCAATGTCTCTTGCCTTCAGGATATCATAACCACAATTTTGATTGTTAAGTCCATATCAACATGTCAGTACCATAATATACTCTTAACCTATGATGTTTTCTTGTATGTATGGGATAGAATTGTATACATTCCTCAATTGTTCAAATTTAGTATTGTCTAGAGAAATTAGCTACATCAGTGAATATTTCTATTGAGCTAATTAGAAACCAAATTTTCCATAACATACTGTATAAAGGTCTTTTATGATGATTTTCTACTATTTCTTTGGTCTTTTTGGATTATCTTTAATTTGATCCATCTTTTTCTCATTTGAGTCTCCATTGGTCCTCTTCTTACTGGCCAAACTGACATAGGCTAGTTTTCATATCTCGTAGACAGTTGTTTCTATAAATTTCTGTATGATACATTCTTAAACCTATTTTTCTTGTACCTTGACTCATTACCCTCATAATTTTGTTTACTTTTGATGGCATTTCAATGCCCAACTTTCACTATCACAGTCCATTACTAGCCATATAGCTATTCAGTGGGGTTTTCCTTTGTGGTAGTAGTTCTCCGTCTCATTTTCTCAAATTGAATTCCATGTATGTCACCCTAATCAATCTTCCCTCTTGTTAGTAGTTTATTTCTGCAACTTGTTGCCTGGTGGGATCTCCACTTTTTGCCTCCAAAAAACTGCTGACTGGCATTAAACAGCACTTGCACTCTGAATACTCTGTTATACTAAAACTCAGTATATAACCTGTTGATTCCGCACCAAAGCATAGTTTACTTATGTAAAAATATCTCAAACGAAGTTGTTACTAACAAGGTTGCCTAATCCTATTATTGATAAAACCATGTGTTTTTTTCGTATGATAACAGGAAATTATCCTTTAAAAATGCATATATTAATTTGATTCATAGGTGCTTCAAAATTTGATATACAATATGATAACAATTAAATGAAGAATCAAAACATGCAAAATTTGTTGGACATTAGGATGTGAAAATCACTATTTGATAGGAATAAGAAAAGGTGGTTAGTGTATGAGAGAAGGAATAAGTGCAACTGACTATAACAAACTAACTGTCTAGGACAGTTAAGGGGGGGAGCGTGTAAGATTGTATAAATACTGGCTGGTTAGAAGAGTTAGGGGTTCTTGATTGTTTAGATTGTTAACGGGTACTTACCTGTTGAAGAGGGTTATGCCTCTGGGTGCTGTTTGTACAAACCTTTTACTGTGAATACAATTGATTTCTTCCAATCTTTCTGTGTTTCTTGGAGTGAAAGTGAGAATTGATATTAGGTTCCCAAGTTTGGAACCTAACATTTGGTCCGACCTGCCGGATCCCCAATCGGAGTGTTATCGCACGTAGAGATGGAGGGAAGAATGGTGGTAGTCGAAGGGCACTTAGAGGCGGTCGAAGTGGCAATTGCAGAGACGAAAGCTGATACGGGGGCGTTGCGACAAGAGACGGCGGCGATACGCCAGGACGTCCAGGCAATCTTGAAGGCGCTTG